ATCCCACGCTGCAAACCTGCTCAGTTCCCTGCAAAGCCCCGGGTTCGCCTTGAGGAAAACAGGGAGTGTTTGTTGTGATCCCGAGGATAAAACCCCGGGATATCCCCGAGCCAGCTGGGCAGTGGCATTCCTGGGAAGCCTGTGCTGCTCTCGCACAAAGTGTCCTCCTGAAGTGGCCCAGAGCACCCCCCAAAACAGACCCACGAGGCAAAACACCACTTGTTTTCCGTGGGAAGTTCAGAAAAGTTGCCCTCCCCCGAACTATTTCCCGTAAAATAAATTCGTCTTCCCAATTCCAGCTCCATTTTGGCATCCTGCTTTTCCTCACTCTGGCAGGTTACTTTTTTTTTTTTCTTTCTCCTCTCCTCTTCTTCTTCCACGGGGTAAAATGGAAAAAAGCAGAAAGGATAAAAATAACCCCCAAAATAAACTTTTTCCATCGTTAAAAATCCAAACTATTCCATATAAAACAAAGCACCACTGGAGCAAAACAGAGCATTTTTCACTGAGTGTCTTGACAGAAAATATTTGATGCAAACCACCCCTGGCTTTAGAAGAATTTGAGTGTCTCACAAGGAGTGTTAACCCTGATATTGTGCCAGGGAGCAACTCAGTTTTGTCTATCTCCTTTGAATCCCCCCAAATGGATACACTGCTTCCCTTAATTCCTTTCCTTAGGTATTCCCAGAGCAGTGTTACAATCAAGAGCTTTTTGCCCTGCCTTAGAATTAAATTCACACTATTGTAACAGGCTGAATCTTGAATAAAGTTGGTGTTTTGTTGACTGGTTTTTTGGATTTTATGTCATAAACTTCCACCAGTTATCACTTACATGATGCTGCCCTTGTGAAAAGCTTTTTGAGCTAAATACAACCTGCATTCCTCCAGAATCCAACCACACAAAGAGGACGTGAAATTCCAAAAAAAACCCAAACAACAAAACCCTTCTCACAGCACAAATATTTTGGTTTTGTGCTCCACTCCTGAGCCAAGGCTTTGCTTTGGCAAAGTGCTGTAAAAACACAGGGCAAAACCCTGGTCCCACCAAGCTTTTAAGTCCACCAGGAAACAAGGTGAAAGGCAGGAGAAGGAAAACTAGAAAATAGCAAGTGTATTAAATGCTGTTATCACTGATAAATGGGGCAAACCCCTTGCCCCACCAAGCTTTTAAGTACACCATAAAACAAATAGTCAAAGGCAAGAGAAGGGGCCAGAGAAAACTGGAAAATAGCAAGAATATTATCTATTATTCTATAAATACACTATGCTATATATTATATATTAGTTACCACTGAGAAATTTTGAAAATACCTGGAAAATCAGCAGAAATAAAGATCCATAAAGCTTTGTTTTAAGCAACCTGAAAACTATCTGTCTGTTATTACTTCCAGACAGAGAAAATTCCCTCACTGAGAGCACGAGTGGTTCGGGGTTTTTTTAGGAAAGCTCAATATTGCAGTGTTTCTTGGCTTTCTGGGGCACAGGACAGCAAGGACTCAGGGAGAGGGATCTCAGGAGGATGTGACAGGCACACTGTCTCCTGGAAGAGGAGAGAAAGCAGACTCCTCCAGCAGAGCACAGCCCCGGGCTGACCTGCCGAGCCGCTCCCGGATCCGAGCGGATCCTCCAGCTCCAGGTCTGGTGGATACCTGGGCTGTCAGAGCCGATTCCTCACTCCAGCAGGCACTGGGAGGGATCTGCACATTGACCTTTCTCGCAGTGCAGTGAGACAATCTGAGTGTGGGGGCTCAGTGCAGCCCCCGGGCAGGGCTCAGACACTCCCTGACCTCGGGGCTCAAGGGAGAAGTGAAGCTCCAAATGCACACGAGGGATTCCTGCTCTTCCAGCTGCTCCCACCCCAGTAACACCAGTCTAACCCCCCCAGTGCAGCACATGTGGCTCAGCCAACCCTTAACACCAATGTGAGGGTGCACTGCCAACAGCAGGACACCAGAGAAAACTGGGTGATGGGTTTGGTCCCAGGGACCTCACTGAGAGCAGGAACGTGGGGTTTTTTGTTAAAAAGCCCCAACATTGCAGCATTTCTTGGCTTTGCTGGGGCACAGGACAGCAAGGATTTAGGGAGAGGGATCTCAGGGAGATGTGACAGGGCACACTGCAGGAGAAGACCAGTCTAACCCCCCAGTTCAGCACATCTGGGTCAGGCAACCCTCACACGCACTGGGGTGAGGGACCCTCAACACCACTGTGAAGGTTCACTGCCAACAGCAGGACACCAGAAAGCTGGAGGACTGATTTAGTTTGGCCCATCTGCTGCTCTGAATCCTAAATCCATGGGTTTCTGGAGGGCAGAGCACACACACCAGCCAGCAAGTGGAGGAAAAGCACAAACCCAGTGTCAAAACCACCGTCAAAACCATCACCCATCTTTGATTACAAAAATCAACTTTTTACTTGAGTGGAAGGCTCATTAAAAATATTCATGATGGAATTGAAGGGGGTGAAAGAAAGCAGAGCAGATTTCCCACCCCTGAAAATTTAAAGCAATTCACTAAAACTTTTAAATGAAAGCATTTACTTTTTTTCTTTTTTTACACAACATTCTATTATGAAGTTTTTCCACTCAGAAGTGAAGAACCACAGATATTTCCCTCAGAAATTTCCATTTTGATGTTCAAAATCAAATCAATTTTGATTTGCAGTGGTGTCTGAAATGATTTTGACCCGGGATGAGAATCAGATGTCACACACAGGTAACACACATAACAACATGCACCACCTTCCCCCAACCTTTACTGGCAAAGTGAGCATCTTATCAACACTTAGAAGAGTCTTTAATCTTGTCTTGTTTTAAAAGTCCCCTTCAAACAAATTGCCTCCTGTTTCCTGTCTCCCCACACGTGCCCCAGAGAGGTAAACAGTGTAAAGGACTGTATATATTAGCCATGCTCTTGGTATGTTTAATAATGAAACCCCAAACCAGGCAACCCTCCTTTCAAGGCTCCTCTAAAAAACTTTTTTTCTGCTCTAACCTTTCACTTTTACGGATTTTCTGCAGTTAAAAAGGTACAGAAGTGCCAATGGTGACTTGGTTTTTTGGTGCTGATAGACTTTCTCCAGCCAGGAAATGAGTTTCCCCAGCCTGCTTGTACTCGGGGTGATCTGGGAACAGGGAACCACTGTGCTTCCCTCCTTTTCCCTGGAGCATGCTTCTGATGTTGGGGAATGAAGCTGCACACAGAGCACAAAGACCAAGTCACCTGTTGACGAGGCAGGTAAAGCAGAGGAAAGAAAAGGGCAACTCAGTGACCAGGAAACAGAATATTCCAGGTTTTGCTGCATCCAGTGCTTGGACAACTCCCACAGAGAGGCTGAGAAACCTGACCCAGGTGAGGTCTTTTGTTCTGCACCCCTGTGTTCCTGCCGTGGGGGAGATGCTCAGATGGCAAAGATAAAAGATAAAACGATAAAGCCCATTTAGATAAAATGATAAAGCCCATCGTGTTTCATAAATAAAAGCAGCAAAGGTAAGTTGTCATTACATCACAGCCAAACCCACACCTTTTCTGTGGCAGCAGTTTATTCCTTTGGCTCCAAGCATTCAACATATGGGAATATTCAGCAGCTGAACAGGATCAGAGACTGCAGTTCTCCACCAGCAACCTGCCCTTCTGCCTCCCTGATTTCCACAGATCCGCTTTCCTGAGCAGCCCAGACACCTCTGGCAGAAGCTCAGCTGTCCCTAAACTTGCTGTCTCATCTCCTGGGGTGCTCTTTAAATGCCTTGCCCACCACAGGGACACACAACTGGCCAAAGCAGATGTGCAGGGGGGACAAACTGCTGCCTGAAGGTTCTCCAGCACGTCCAAGACCCGTTCCATTCCTACAGACAAAACCTTTGCTGACAGCAATCTCTAGAGCAAACAGCTTTTTTCCAATTTATTCAGCAGCTCTACACATTTTATTGTGTTTCAGATGGCTAAAAAAAATTAAAATCTCTCTGGTCCACAATCCACACCTGAGACTGAAGGAACTGGGCTGAAACATTTCATTCTGGCTGCTCAAAACCCCCGTTCTGCCCGTGCCCAGCCACAGAAATGCAGCATCCTGTGGGGCTCAGCTCCTCCCAGGGAACCAAGGACCAGCCCACTTTTCCACACCTGTATCCAGGTGCCCGGGAAGACGCGGAATTCCCGGTCTTTGCCCGGGCAGGGCGGAGGTGGGAGCCGAGGGGCTGTCGGCAGGGTGTGGGGAGCAGAGCAGACACAGGGGCTCACTCCTCACATCCCAGAGGGGCACAAACCCAGGCTGCTCCCGAGCCAGACCGGGAGACAAACCCCCTCCCAGACCTCGGCTCTGCAAACTCTTTTCTCTCCACAGGCTGCAGCTTTACCAGGCAGCTCTTCTCCCTTCCCTCTCCTCTAAGGTCTCCTGTTCCATTTTCCACTCCTCTCCTACTCAATCAGCCTCCACCTCTTTCCTTTCCCTTCTTTCAGCAGCCCTCTCTCTTCCCTTTCCCCTTCGTGTCCCTTCTCCCATCCTTTTCTCCCCCAACTCCTCCCTCTTGCACTTCAACACATCTGTTTCTAATCTTAACCATCCATTGGAAACAATAACCCCTTTTTATTTAAAAAAAAAACAACAAACAACTGAAAGCTGAGTGCCCAAGCAAATCAAAACAGTTACACAAATTTGACACTACGCCTGAAACAAAGACATTTTGTTCACCTTTTTCTGCCAGAGAGGCTCAAGCCCCTCATTAGTTTATCATTGAAAAGCAAAAACAAGAGACACACATTCCCAAGTGAGTCCATTTAACCACCAATTTTAAAATTAATCCGGATATTAAGAGATCTCTGGTGATCAACCTGCTAATAAAGCGACGAGGAAAGCATCAGAACCCGAACACTGCTGAAATTACAGTTTTCCATGAAAGTTTTTGCCTCACAAACCCCTCTCTCCAGCTCACCAGAAACGAATTTCACTCGCACAGAGGAGACCCGGGGAAGTTTGATTAAAAAAACTAAACAAAAACCTACCTAAGAAGAGGATTGGAAGTGCAGACATTCCGTCTCCAAGCAAGAGGGACTTTTCCTCCCTTTTTCTTCCTTCGTTTCTCCCAGGAACAGCAGGCAGACCTGCACAGGATTCAAAGGAACGCCTCTGGAATGCACTGAGTGTAATTGCATCCATGTGCCAGAAAAATAACCAACTTCACTCCTTCTTCCCTCCTGCTATTCATCTCCTTGTCCATATTCCACCTGGATCCGGGCAGAGCTTTCAGGGCTCTGCAGCTGCCGACTGAGGCCCGGGGAGTTTGGGGAGGAGAAGAGGCAGAGGCAGTGCAGGGACTTCACATCCACGGCGGCACAGAACACTTGGGCTCGTGTGGAGAGGAGAGAAGCAGGGGAAAAAACACTGTGCTCAATGTTCACCACATGGCTGCCTCCCCCAAGAGCCCCTCCCTGCCATCAGCTGGGATTAATAGCCAAGACCAGTCATGTGGGTGAGGTGCAGCTCCTTTCCAGCAGCAAAATATATGTTGTTTGTTTTTTTTTTTTTTTTGAAGGAGAAGCCCCAGTGTTAAAACAGTTAAGTTTGGAGGCAGTAAAAATCCAGCCTGGAAAAAAAAAATCAAAATAAAAAAAAAATCAGATTCGTCACTCAAGGGTTAGAAAGACACTCTTGGAAGAATCACACACACTCCTCGGATCATAAACACGCAGATACATTAGCTTTGTTCTCTTTTCCTAGATAATAAATTGCAGGATTAAAGCTTTTAGTCTTGCTGGAAATACTTGCTCTGTGGTTTTCTTTTGGAGTCTCTAGGAGAGAAGAAAAAAACTCCTAAAAAGGGATTTAATTTTTACACTGATGAGCGAAAAGCCAAATCAAGCACAAATTGGTTGTCTACATTTAGTGGGGGCAACTTATAACTCACTCCCAAAGGGCATTTTTTAGGCAGCCTGAGAGACTTTTACAGCCCATCTTCAGCTTCACCTCAGTGCAGTCACAAAGGGGGGCAAGTTTTAAAAATCACCTCAGATATTCCTTTCCATCATACACAGGGGGTGGCAAATCAAACATCTTTACCCATCGTGGTGCCAAAGGGAAGCTCTGGAATACAGGACAAAAATTCTTCCCCTTAGGAGCAGTTATGAAAGTGTTTCTAAATCCTAAGAGAAAGAGCTGCCAGACTGTGCTTTGGGACATCAGACTCCGGTTTCAAGCTCTCTCTCCCTCTCTGTGTAACCCCACCTACACAGAATTCCTACAGACTTCACCAGAAAAATCAGGGATTGATGTTCTTTCTCTCTCCAGGGATGAAAATAAACCTTGTGCAGAGCCAGGAATTGGACTCAATGATCTTTGTGGTCCCCTCCAACTCAGAATATTCTGCTTTTTCACAAAATACAGCAATTTTTATGAAGCCCTTAATGAAGGGGCACAACACTTGGAAGCTCCATAGGAATTTAGCACCTTACCTGTTCATGACAGAGCTTTGCAAGCACTTACAGAAAGACAACAAACACTGCACAAAGATCAAACCTCAGATTCCAGCTGATACCAAAGACAATAACGTGGATAAAAATCACCCTTCTGCATCCAGTTGCATTAAAGTTTTATTTGCCCCTCCCAGGCTCAGATGGGAACAAGAGCAGCATTTGGCTCCTCCTCTCCAGAACAGCTGTTCCCTCTTAAAACACAATGTTTTAAGCAGCAAATTCAAGGAGCTCTTTAGCTGTTCACCCAACTAAATCCCTGTGCACATTTAGTTGTTAAGCAGCAAATTTAAGGAGCTTTTTAGTTGTTGGTTTCCCCCTCAAATACATTTACTGACACTACGAGTGCTGAGCCTCTCTGAGGTGAGATTTTTTTCACCCAACACGGGTGGGTGATACAGGATCAGTCATCATTAGGGAATGGAACAGTTCCCACAGAGCAGCTCCACTAATCCATAATTTAAGAGCAGGTTCCCTCAGAACTTTTCCCCCACGCTCTTGGGCAAACCTGCTGCTGGTTTCCCAGCTGGGGGAGGGTCTGCAGACCCCGTGGGTTTCCAGTGCAGGACATGGATTGATGGAGATCCTTGGATCCCTCCAGGAGCCGATGGCACCGAGCCTGTCTCCCTGCATTAGGAGCCTGACAGAAGATGTCCCAAGCTCTGCTGCCAAATTCCCAGCACCCTGCTCATCTTTAATAGAATCAATACATCAGGAACCAGGAGAGGGAGAAGGGTTGTCACCCTCCACTTGTCACCCTCTGTGGGAATTCTGGGAGCTGGGATGCATGGGGAGGAGGAAGGGGATGTGGAGGATGCAAGAGGAGGCCGTGCACGCAAAAATCTCCTCTCCATCATCTCAGACAAGTCATTCCACAGCCCTCACTTCACCTCCAGCCCCTTCAGGAAGCTCCTCAGAGCTCTGGGGGGCACGGGGGGTTCTCCCTTGGGTGTTTGGGTGTGGCAGGGGCACCTCACTGGTTTGGGTGACAGCTCCCAGGCAGGAAAACAGGGACACCCCAGCACATCCTCTTTGCTGGTGTGTTTGGGGCAACAGCTCCTCTCCACAGCACAGCATTTTTCCAGAAGGGGCAAATCCTTCCAGGTGGGTTTGGGAACACTTTGACTGCCCAAGCACGGGAGGTGCATCGTGCACTTCCCAGCAGGGAGAGCACTGAAACAGCAGCAGATGATCAACATCAAATGAAAACATTCCATGAAAACCCTTTAAAAACTGAATTTTTCAGAGTTCCTGCACTGGTCCTGGCAGATCCCAAGTTTTAAGGCTGGAGTAGGTTCAAACTACAACTCCTGTATTCAAACATCTGTAGAGACCCTCACGGGCCACAGAGCAACCACTTCTGTGGTGTCTTCCCTGGTGCTGTCCCACTATCAGACATTTGGATGATAAATCCTTCCAGAAAACACACTCTTTTGAACATTAAATATTAACAAACCCGACATCCCAAGATCCTGCCCAGCACCCAGTGGCTTGTTCTTGTACCTCAACTAGTAGAAGCACACAGAGGGACCCTTTATCTAACTTCTACTGGTTTTTTTCATATATCAGATTATTCCTTTCACCTCCCTCTTCCTCCTGGAGTTGGAGCTGCCCCCCAGTGCTGCAAACCCACTCCCCACCACCCAAAACACGTCCAGAAGCTCCATTTGGTTCCAGAACTGTTATGACCCAGCAGAAACACAGCCTTGTGCTGGCTCTTTATTAATCCTGTTCTCCAGGACTCCCTACATAAACTTATCTTGCACAGTTTAAGTGATTTAAGCAGCTTATTGATATAATAATTAGAAAAAACACAGTTCATTCTTCAGGAGGGCTCAAGGAGCACTTTGAATTAGGAATCTCTCGAGCAAAACCACTTGCTGTTCTGTTTTTGGATTTATAACTGAGAGAGAGGCACAAAAACACAAGGGGAAAAACAAACAACACAAATAAACCAGTCTCTCAACAGAAAACATGCAATAAAGAGTGTCAGGGTAGAAAATCAACCTCTTCCCATGGATTTCTTTTCACCATAAGCCACTGGAGGAAAGGCTGCTTTGTTCTGCATTGGGACCCAGACACTGCCTTGTAAAGGAATTGTTGTTTCAGGAGCTCTCCTCTCTCAAGGAGGCTTCAATAATTGATCATAAAAACACTATTAGCCATTTAGGATCACTAAAAAAATCTCACTTCAGAGAGGCTCAGCACTTGTAGTGTCAATAAATGTATTTGAGGGGGAAGCCAACAACTAAAAAGCTCCTTAAAACTTCGGTCCATGCAGCTCTTTACTTGTTTTTATTTGTTTTATGGGAAAGCACCCTTGCTGCTGCCTTTTTCTATAGCTTTATTTAATACGTGAGCCTGTAACTCGACTCAGGACATTAAATATAAACAGTTGCTCAAACACAGCAACAGAATTTTTAATCCACCAACTTTATGCTGATGCTACAAAAACAAAGAACTGAGCCCAAGCTACTTACAATATATTATTGATTTTATACCAGAAGGCAAATCAGGTCAAAACCTATAAGGTTTAATTTCCATTACTATAAAAAACTTTAAATATTTTTACAATACAAGGCCTTTGTTTTTAACTACAGCTCTAACAGAAAAATGCCTGAGAAAATGAAAAACATCACTAACAATTGTAAAAAATGCACAAAGACATTATAACCAAATAATAATGTCTCTTTACCTTCAGAATTCAGGGCTCTGCTAACAGGAAAAACATAAAATCAGAAGCCAAAAGGCCCCAAATGCTGAGTTTTATCCTGTTCCCTCAGGAAAACCTGCCAATGAAACTCCGTGCTTTGATTTCCCAGCTGTGAGATTGGAAAATTGGCAAATCAAGCTTTTCTGTGTCTCCCAGGTGGGAAGAATTAGAGAAATCACGGGGGACACAGGTGGGCAGTACCTGGGATTAAAGAGGGAGGGTCAGAACACAACTTAAAAAGCAGGGCAGAAGCATGGCTGGTTTTTTAGGTGGCAAAGTCATGGTAGAAAATGGCAGAAAAAAATTAATGGTTTGTAGTTTTAAAGGTTTTAATTTTTTGTTAATTTTATTTTTTTAACGTGTGTATGATAACAATTGAAAATGTGGCAGGAAAAGCTGAATAAACTGGCTGGGAAGAAGAACTTCAGTAAAGAAAGAAGTATTTATGTGAAAATTACAGCTGGGAAAATGACTGCTTGCTGCTTTTACTGTAAGGTAAGCAAAAACCTTGGGGGTTTTAGTACTTCAGAATAACTTTATTTGAAAACAAGTACGGTTTTTATGCGCTTTTATGAAGGGTTTGAGCACATGAAGTTAATTTTATCACAAGTGAAATACAGGAAAATATAGAGATACGCTGGAGGAGGACTGAGTGAGTTTGCTTAGGAATTACTGTGCCTAAACCTGAGCTTAAGGAGGCTTGGGTGTTTGTGGGGGTTTTTATTTTAAGTGTCTGTTACCTCTGAACATCAACAGTTTAGTTCTGGTGGTGCTTCTTGTCTATTGGTGCTTCTTGTTTATTGTAGAGAAGTTTTGAGGCTCTTAATGCAGGAATAATGCTGAATATGAATTGTTAAACATAGCTTGGTATTGAATTAATTGAATGTCTTAATGTCAACTATAAATTTAACTTTTAAGATTACTTTTCCTGGCTTGTAGTTGTTCCTCTGAGTTAAGAATGGCTTAATAATTTAGGACTGGCTTAGTAACTTGGCATGTGGGAGTTGGAGATGCCCTCAAGCCTTGCTGCTGGCCCTGTCACTGACCTGTTTTGTGAAACTCAGCACTTTTTCTTCCTCAGTTTTTCTTCTCCATTCCTTTTGCACAGCACAGTCATTGTTAACGCAGCAACTGTGAGCATAAAATCTATTTTAAAACTCCTCACAGCTCATTTTTATATTGGGATATCTGTGCCCTCAAGTGCAGCAGAGGT